GAGAAGAGAAGAGAAGAGAAGAGAAGAGAAGAGAAGAGAAGAGAAGAGAAGAGAAAGATAATACTTATTCTTTGCCGAGTTTCCCTTTAAAAAATTTATTCGGACTGGCTTAATGTAGTGGCGAATGTGCTTTCTCGTCGCCTCGACTGTAAATTGGTGCATGCACAATGGGGACGCTGTCAACTGATAAGGCAATACGTATAGCGTGCGGTTCGGACGCAACATTCGTATTGCTACTGGGAGCGCTGGAAAGCACGCTATTTTGGTATAATAAATTCGCTTAGGGCACCGGCATGCGTGGGTCGCTATGCCTTATCCCATGGCTTGATGTATTACAGCAATGACTCACAAGATACGCTGCGTTTGGTAGTGTCATAGGTAAGGATATGACTTTCGAATAGCTTTCTTAAAAAAGACTTCTATACAATGCACAGACTATCTTTTTGGGCAATCACTTCAAAAGAGAGAACAGTTTTGCCTAAAGAGCGTTATGAACAGGTGGAAAACATGTAAAAGTAGGAAATGAACATATGTGTGCTCGTGTGCATCCATCGACGTGTTAAACCCTGGCCACTTTTGATGGAGCCCTGGCTCGCGTATTCAATTCAAGAGATAGCTATATCGAGTTATTTGGTGTTTCGGAAGACGCGATCGATAAAACCAGAATTGTGATTTTTGTAGACCAACTGAGCAAGGTGATCATTCCACTACTATTATATAAACTGTTGCCGATGCGAATAGAGTCAACTTTTTCCCGACCACATTCCCTTGCCAACAAAGGTTGACGGTGGCTAAGGTATCAAATGAAAGTTGCGCAATATTGAAAAATTCTGGAAGCATTGACCATGGTTCTAGGAATCAATTTGAATAAATCGGTCCAGACAACCCGCAATTCAAAGTCAAGCGGATCGTGCGAAACCCGTCGTGGTGGAGATCTTCCGAAGCACTAGCGCGGAAAAACGATGCTGCGGGAGCAAGACTCTCCCACTTATTGATTTTGCGTTAAATATCGTATAGATGCCTTTGGAGGCTTTTTTGCTGATAAAAGATTTGTATAACCACAGGTTCCATTGACACCTCTACAAAGAGGTTTCTGATGCAGTGGAGGAGAGGCTGTCAATTCATTTCGACATGCTGCTGTCATCATAGCTAAATTTTATAGTATCTATAAACTGGTGCATTTAGTTTTATCAAAATGGGTGTCATGCAAACTATGAATGCGAGCTGTGACGTGCAAAAGACTGGTTACAAATGCGTGCAGAGCAAATGATGATATTGAAGTCAATAGACCTACATACACAAGCAGTTTCCGCGCTTTTAAAGCTAAGTCGCGATTGCATTACATCATATCGCTCACAATCTCAGCAAAGAGATGCTTAATAAAACTCGTAAGATTCCACTGATAGCGCGAGCACATCCTATGTTTACAAGATACAACAAACACTATATCACGACTACGCTTTGCTGGTGTATTGGGGTGGTAGGCCCAACAACAGAAGAGTTTAGTACGTCCTCTGCCCTAGATCCAATTGTCATAGAAGATTTTTGACAGCGATTTGAATCACGACGCAGGTAGCTTATTCCCAGGAGTCTTCGCGGTCCCTATTTCGCCCTAGTGTCCAGGTGAAGCTCCCACCTCTCGCCAAATCGTGGCATACGACACGAGATCGAGATTAAGCCCAGTGCAAGATATCTGCCATTGCCTCAATTACAATTGTCAGCTGAACAATACAATTTTATAGATTCGTCCTTCGCTGTTAAACAGCAACAGGGGTGGTTGGGAGAGCTAAACCCCCATAGTGCGTCAACGTTTACGCTCGCACCAATGACAAGTGGCACATTGTACACGTATACAACATGTTGAATGCTAAAACTGTGCTAGCACAGACGCCTATTCCACGCAAGGATACCATTGAAAACAAGATGACTGACTCGAAGCACTTTAGCGTGCTCAATCTATTAGATGGCTACTATGAAATTTTAATGAATCCTCCATCGATTCCGTGTACGGCAGTGAGCACACCTAGCGGTAGACTTTAGAAGTGACTTGTGACGCCATAAGAACTCTTTATTTCGTTCATTGCAATCGTTCGCGTCGACGTATTTTGATGATATTGTTGTCCATAAGAATCCCAGAACAGACCGACTTATCGATCGAGTGCATCTCGAACACATGGAACAGGTATTGGTAAGTATGACAGAACATCAACTCTTTGCAAACATTTATTATTGTATATTTGGCGCCGAAAAATTACCAATTTGGTTTGTTCTGTCGGCGTCGACGGTGTTCGAGCGGACCCAGCACAGACCAAAGCGCTCTCAGAAAAGCCGACGCCGACTTACCAGAAGGATATGAAGAAATGGTTCTGCTTGGCCAACATCTCCATCGGTATACCAAGAATCATGCCGTTATGACATGCCCATTATTGGACTTGGTAAAGAAAGGTCATGAGTTATTATGGACAAATAATTGTGCAGTTGCCTTTTACGAGATCAAGCTCAGCTTGCAGGCAGCGCCAATATTGGCATTACCAAATGACGATTTACCGTACAGTGTCATGGGCGACGCCTTCGACTTTGCGATCGGATGTGCATTGCTGCAGCAAGATGTTAATAGGCAAGGACGGGTCATCTCATATCAGTCGAGGCATCTGAAGGCACCTGAACAGAATTACCCGTTCACGATGAAGAGATGTCAGCAATAAAATATGTTTTAATGAAGTTTAAAATTAATCTCTTCGGATTCAAGCCATTCGCCTTTTATACCGACCACGCATCGCTGCGTACAGGGAATCAATTGTCATAACGATTAGCCCGTTGGTGTCATTATTTGTAAAATATAAATTTACAGTGGTTTATAAGCCAAAAAAATTGGATGTCTGGGTGGATGCCTTATCTCAGCGTCTCGATAACGAATTATCCGTGAGATCGCAAGCTACTTCAGCGTATTCGACATGATACAACAAGCATACCCAAAAGACCCAGCGTGGGGTTTTTTTACGTGGTAAAAAACTACGGATAATTTTCTCTACATTCCATTATCACCGCGAGATTGCTGTCAAACTCATCGATACTCACTCAAGACAGGTTATTGTACTTCCCGGTACATAAAGAAGATGACTCTCGGATTGTTGTACCCGACAAAGAATACTTGTAACACAAGTTGGTATATGAAGTACACGATTTGCCTATCGCAGGTCATTCCGGTCGAGAGAAACCTTTTGCAGCGCTTGCACATTTCTTTTGGTGGTGCAGATTGTATGTTGGATTGAAAAGTATCTTCAGACGTGTGACATATTTCAGCGTGTGAAGCCCTCACCACACAGTCGAGATCCGTTGCAGAGTCTGCCAATAGCAGCAGATTGCCGGTGGTCTGTCAGATTGGATTTTTCCTTTAAGTTACCCCTTGCTGCCGCAGAGATAATGATGTTTTGGTCCTTTTAAACGTTTGAGCAAGATGTTGCGCATCGCACTAACCGTTGATTCCGTGATTGGGAAATAGAGCGCTCGAATTTTCACTGATCATGCCTTTCGACACCATCGATTGCCAAAGTCAATCGTATCCGATCGTGATGCGCGCTTTCCAGAGGACTTTCGACGAGCTTATTTTGTCTATCAAGCACTCGCCTAGAGATGGTCACTCGAAACCATCCAGAGACGGATGGTCAAACTGAACGCGCGAATCTTGTTAAAGAAACATGATACGCAGATTTTGTGCATCGTCGCCGACGACATGGAGTGATGTGCTCCCGATGGTCAAATTTGTCATCAACAATGCGGTCCATGCATAGGCTTGCGCCACTTTACACAAAGGCCTTCGCCATCCTGTATTTCCTAATGAGGAATCACGCAAGGTTTTGTGAGGGAGGGGCTCATCAAGCGTTTGCATCCCAACTCACTACGATTGGCAATCGTCAGCTTCGTCAAAGTATTGACAAGTTCATGACCGAAAGAGCAACTGTTGTTTCACGTACGTGATGCTATAACGGAAGCGTAAGATTTACCGATATCAAATACTGATATCCAGGGACGTGGAACCACATATATAATAAAAAAGATGATTATGTACTATTCACAACCAAGAACATTGCAGATGCTGCAGTCTCTAGTCTAGGATCTTTCGAACTCCTTCCCCAATACATCGGTCCCTTCAAGGTCTTGCAGAGTACCAAAATGCATATACATTGGACTCACCAAGATGGAGCAGTATCCAGTAACCTTTAAATGTCGGCTTGCTCAAGCCAAATCTTAGCGATTTATCTCATCGTACGGACGGTACGAACGAGGTTGATCGTAATCCGGTGACGAAGATCTTGAACGAGAACGAACGCGTCGTTGATACCCAAGAGTCGAATCGCACTGTGCCACAGCACTCTGAAGTTTAGGAACTTCGTCACGAAGACGTTGACTTTCCGCTTGGAGCCGAGCGGCTTCCGTCTAATGAGCAGACATTGCTGCGTGATAGTTCAACTTTCACATAGCGAGCTTCAGCCCACGGTCATTTTCGCCGCCTTCGACATTTGATGATCCATCTTTGCGATCGCACTGGCGTTTGCATCTGTGAATCCTACGACCTCGTCCAGACGCATCGCTGTGTCCCTCATCTACGAGGGTAGCACCGACAAAAATGGTATCGACGACACCGCTGTCAATTGTTGGACCAACGAGGGTTTCGTTGACGGAGGGAAACGGATACAGATTTGCCATTTCCATGTGACAAAGATTGTGTCGGTCCACTGACACCTTGGTGAGCAACATCTTTTTTTTGATGACGGGGCTTTCCGGATTCGGATAGCTCGAGGGGGTCATCTTCGCAACTTCTTGCTGGTTGCCGTGACGCGGTCTATAAGTGGAAGTTTGCAAACCACCACCGGCTCCACTAGGAGCCGAAATGGTTTTTTGTCCCATCGTTTGGGGCCTAAACATGGGAGTCGACAACGACGAATGCAGTGACGATGCAGGTGGTGAAACGCCTTGCAAATCCACCATACGACCGATCCGTTAATAGTTGCCGCCGGCATAAATCGGTGTTTTGATATGCCACCTCAGATCCTTTGACGATTGCGATTGATAACTACGGCAGACCCGACGTACAGATCTGTTGTCGTTATCAGGCGATCTCCAAGGTGCGCGACATGCGTTTTCGATATGCGAAACTCGAATGCGAGGGAGCAGGTTAATGCACGTCCTGAAAGCTTCGTAGGGTATCCATTATCGGCGTCGCAAGTCACGGGATCAAAAACGTCGCCATACGAAAATGACTCGGTGGCGTGCATTCATTCGCAGATTGCTCTATAATGTCGTACTGCGACTCTGCTAGCCATGTTTGCATCCATGGTTCTCCATGTACATTATAGTACGGTGTGCATACGCCGCCATGTCGCGACAACTATCGTTTGCTGTGCTAGATGCTGCAAACAAACGGCTCGACGGCCTCCTCTAGAGTCATCGAAAAACATTTCCTAGGAACTGCCTGATCAAGCAAGGGGACTCTTCAGGATCTTAGGGTTCGATATCCATACCAGCGCTGGCCCCTAGAAGTCGTGGAATAGGCCACACGTTGCTATTCCACAATTATTGCGAAGCGTATTCTCCGCATGTAGCACAGCGGCGCTGCTGGCGTCGTCGCCGTTGGCGAACTCATTAAAGTTCTCGGCGCGGTCACTGACCCATGGTTGAGGTTAATGGGGCACGTGCGACAGCAACGCGAGAAAACTAAGCCCCAAGAGAAAGCTAACCCAGCCATGAGCAGCTGTGACCAGCTGTTCCGTTACAGCTATCCCGTCGAAAGTAAAACTCTGTTGTAGACGAAGGAGTTTTTCTATCATCCCATGTAGCTCAGAAAGGACACGGTTGTGAATCACAGGGGGGACTCTATGCCACGCCTTACGGTGTTAATGCTTAGGAAGCTTACCTATGACGGGAGCCATCTCAGGTTTGGACGCATGTCGAGAGCTTACGTACCGCCTCAACTAAAAACACTTATGATAGCTAGCCACTGAATGACTTTTTTCTGACGTTTACGCTTAATGGATTAAAAAAACTCGCACTTAAAAGAGGAATCCCTGGAGGACAGCCGGTTCTACCAGGGCTATTTGTAGTATCTGATAAAGCGGACAAATTAATCTCGTCAGTAAAGATAAGGTATTTTTTGAAGAAATTGCACTTGCTTAATTGCCACTCACGATTTAGCGCACCTCGACTGTCATCTCTCACGGAGAAAAGGCTAGATGAATCGACGTGGAGCACTTTTGACAAGTCAGTGAGAACCAACCGTGTAGTGATTATTAAGCGTGGTGAGTAGCTGTTACAGCTGTCTAGCGGAATCAAATAGGATTTTAAATGGCAAAAAATGGGAGGTGATGGATTTGTCACTCCGACGTCTGCGTGGTGCGTGATACCTTTCAAAGGTATGAGTTGATGCCTAAATTGATCGATTATTTTACTAAATACGGATTCTAATGTCTATTTTTTGGGGTTTCAGCACGATTTTCTCACCCAGTTCGCAAATTGAGAACAACGCCTTCAAGCACTATCGCCAGCGTTAGTACCCGAAGTACACTCCTTATAAAGGATACGGGCATTTCATACCGCTGTCCTCTAAGTGCTGGCGGTGCTTCTGACGTGAAACGAAAGAGCCAGCTAATGGTTCTTTAAATGTACGTAGAAGGCACGCCTGTTTTTCTGGCCTTGTATCAACGCAGCAAGTTAATTCTGATGGCCTAAAACTGCAACCACGAGTAATAGTTTAAGTAAGATTCGGCTTTACTTTTGTGCATGTAGATGTACAGAACGAGCTTCCTGATCCGATTTAAGCTCGAGTGAAAAGTTTGACATCGTCTTGATTTGACAGCGAGATGTCGCATCTTTTCCTACCGCTGGAAAAGCGCACGGAGTACGTAGCTCTTGTAGAAAGGGCTGAGCGCAGTGAGCGCCTCCTCAACGGTAAATGGTTTGGCTCTGTGTCCATAAGTGATAGCGGAGAGTTTGGATTTGTGCTCGAAGAGTCACTGCCACCGCTGTTGAAATTTGCTTCTAGCGCGTAACTCTGGGAGACAACGTCTTTTTTGAAGAATTAGTTAAGCCATTTGATTAAGTACTCGTGAAGGGGTTCCCAGAGCAAGTATGCTCTAAGGATCAGACCGATAAAGTGCTGATAGTGGAGTATGACTCCAAGCGTTGTGATTGCGCCTCAGCAGTCATTTAATGTTTTAAAATGATAAGAGAGTGTAAATCCCAGTTTGATCTTAATGGACTATTACGGCGTAAGTACAGTCATCTACTGATTCCATATTATTTTGATACAGAAGTATCAAATTTAAATAAAAGTAACTGCTTGAAGACTACATCGTTCTTTTTGCAGAATTCTGAAGATTCAAAACCATCGAGGTATCGATTTTGTAAAGATTTAGGCGTCACCTGAACCGGAACTAAGAATCTCTATTTAAACTAACACTGTAAGTTCCCTATACTATTCTGAGAGTACATATATATAAGAGTACATCTATTCATATCCAATGGCATATACACGCTTGCTATCCATTTAAACTCAAACGATTTTCATTGCCTAATCTTCTGCTAGCGGCTCGCATATCATACGGACCTATTCTTTTGAGTTCTGTCAACATTAAAGATATCGACATTCCGATACTTGTATATATACACAATTATCTCGAGTGCCATATGGATTTGCCCAATTATAAAAAAATGTGCAAGGGTTTAGTAGCCAAAGTTACAGAACTCGTCCCGTTATATATCTTCCATTAGGTGTGGACCTCGTTAAGGTTCATGCTATGTTTCATATGAAGCCACTATGCAAACGTGACTGCCCTCTAACAGACCACTGTGTCTAGCCACTACGTGGCGGTATTGCCAGTAGTTATACATATTAATTAGATATTACTTTATTAATAGAAAAACCTTAAATTTAAGATATAGGCGGCTCTGCCGCAGATAAAGCAAATAAGTACAGTTTCAATTTTGAACGGAAGATTGTATTTTCTTTGGTTAAGGTTTTTAGATACTCTTGGAGGTAGCGGATCGCAATCCGCTACACTCGTACCGGTTTTGGTACAAAATGTAAGGTCGGTGACGTAAGTAAGATTCCTTAAATCAAAGAGCTACGGCAGCCCCGCTACTAAACTTGTGCCCTCCACGAAAGATGTACCTTTAAACTACAAGCTGTTAAAAGTGCCGCTGATCATCTGAGCACTGGGCGGAGGAACACGTCATCGCCCTCTTCGTGATGCTTTATAAGCCAGCTTTGGCGAATAGAGTCGTCTCATGCTTTACTATGCAAGGTTTTAAGCACGACGTAAACGTCGAGGCTTAAACCCCCTCACAAGCTGCTGCTGTATATTGCTTCACTTATTTTCAAAAATCTTCCTGCAAGTTCGGTCGTCTTCCACTAGTGGGAAGTGTGCAGCAACTGTAGACCCCACCCCGCCTTATTACGAGCGAGATTGTGGTCGAGGTTGCGCCAGACCACGGCATAAAACAAATTTGCCGGAGTGTAAACTCGAAGCTCCCCGGGGTTTTGAAATAAGGGTTCTCCTAGCACTTTACTGGGAACTCGCTGTAACCGTGGATTATCTGCCGCCGCATAAATGGTTCTACGTGAGAGTATGTCTCTACTTGCACGTCGAGCATTGCTGGCATACTTTGACTCTCTTGAAGCTGGCCCTCATGATTTTTTTTCAGTTATGGTGACTTGTAGACATTCTCTTATAGATACGTCGCGCAGATCTCGGATTTGCACTCTGAGCTTCGTTTTATTGCACTGACTGATGAATCACGTCCGGCGGTCCTATCAGCGTAGCAGCTTGTGCGTTGGTGGTAGCTGTGGATGCTCGAAGCGCAGCAGCTCTACAACTATGCCCCTTACATCATACGGAATGTAAGCACGAATTATGTAGAGGATTTGCTCAGCTCACATAGAAATTGGAAATGTCTTCAATTTTGTTGAGATAGCCTGAGTATAACTCATGGCTATTTGCTCCGACAGTGAACGATCCGATTATCAACCGCAGAAGCTGCCTGTACAGAAACGACATTTGCAATCATCGAAATTATCCCACACAGCTTATTCTTTTGTGTTTTACATGACTCTGGTATCAGCTTGTTGTTCTTCTTCGTTTTGACGTGTCGCACACCACCCATCGCATGAAGCTCAATCATATCGAAATAGAATGACCAATATTGCCGCGATGAGTAGCCTTGCTGATATCAGCAAGCCAAATATGGTCGACAACCTCTTGCAAACAAGACCTGAATCACTTTGCTGTGGTATCAAAGAAAGCTAAATTGTACTACATCATTTATGTTAAATGGGTAAAGCCAATGAATTTCTATCTTGGGTTATTCAACGTAAACTCAATGGATATGAGCAACTTGCTCGAGCAACGAGAACTCTCCGCGCAAGTACTTCAGATAAATGACTGATCAACCCACCTCTTTGCGGTTAATCAGCGATTGACAGAACGACGTCAAAACCTCGACAAAAGTTGCGGATCAATATCTGATACAACAAAAAGCTGAAAGTAATATTTGTAAGAAATTTTCGAGAAATAATCTTGCTGTAGCCTAACCGGTCAAAGTTCAGCGGACAGCAGAAGCTGCGACATGAGCCATTTTCTTCAGGTCGTCCACAAACATCACAGTACCCGTCATACCAGACGTGTCACTAAGAGCACCAAAATTATAGTCCATTTAAATGGAATGCCATCTCTCTGCCCGGATCGACAGACAAGCCGAGGTGCTGGCGCATGCGGAGAGTATTTGAATCATTACCATGTTTCAATCGTGCGCACATGTGTGCTTACCCTTTTATACATGCTGAGCCACCACTATTAAGCGCTCAAGAAGCAATATATATTTCTGCTAGGTGACTACCTAAAGAGAGTTTGTTTTCAGCTTACGGTATCATAAACTAGAGATAAACTAGAGATCATCATCATGCGCTAGACTCTACGCCGAGTATTATGTGAGTCAGTGCTGAAATAAGTAAAGCCAGGAAGCAAGACAGAGCAGTATAGGTTATGCGCGCCTTCTCTTATGTGCTTTCTGACGCTTCCAGTAGAACAGCAGATGTTGAGTCTGAGCCATACGCTACACGTAATACCTTATCAGTTGACCGCGTCACCATTGTGACATGCGATAATGTGTAGTTGGAGCGGCAAGACAATAGATCCGCCACTGCGTTAAGCCGATCCGGTAAATAGTTTTAATTTGGAATACTCGGCAAAGAAGGATAACTATCTTGCTATTTTTTGCTTGAGATAAGGTGGCAATGTTGCTGTGAGCAACTATGCATGACTCGTATATAGAATGCATACCTCAGAAATAGAGAATACACCCTTAACTTGACAAGACCATAACCGTGCAAGTAGCTCTGTGTGGACAAGAAAAATTTTCTCGGCAGCTTTCTGCTGGGTAAAATTAACACGATCACATGCTTAGGCCTGCTCAGAGCAAAGGGCGGCATAACGCAAAGGGTTAGGCGGTACAAACAACTCGGAATGGCCGATCTGCGTTAGAATTTCCCAGAATTGGATAAGAATGAGAATTTCTCTCACAGCCGTTATGACCTCTCCTTGTGCATAATTCAGCGCCGTTTGACAGAGATTTTTGTGAGGGGTCGTGCCATTTTAGCACAGTTTACACTATGCTTGCCAATATTTTTTCAGGTCGAACCACTTCCTTCACGTTTTTTGGACAAAAACATTGACCAATATACGATGGTCTTCCTCTTCGTGGGATCAACCCACAGAATATATTTTCCGATAAAGCAACCAAGAAGGGAAAATATCGTTGGCGCCGAAAACACTCTTATCTAGATTGACAGATGATCTATCCAAGCGCGTACACTCGAGCACCAATCGCAAGTGATCAATGCGGTTTTCCGCATCCAAATTTCCGTGTCCTGCACGGCTATGAACAAAAAATCGTGCATAGCCGTGATGCGACCTGAACAGTTGGGTCATCAAAGGATTGAACACGCTGATGTTTGAGGCATTCCCTGTGTTCTAATCAGCCATACCAAATCATCCCGCTCTAAGCGCTGATCGGTATCGCTCTATCATTTGCGGATGACAATAATAATGTGCTTAGTTGAGCGCATTTAACGAATTGCAGCCGATTGTGCTGTTCTGCACCACATCCTTTAAAATAAAGCGTTTTTCCTGAAATAATAAATGCAGTTGGTCTTACTAGCGTATGCACAATTTGTATCAGGAAGTCGCGCTTTTATGGTAGTATACTCTCTCACACACAACCCGCTTTGCGATGTGTACAAAAGAAAGTGTCAACGACGTTTCACTGATTATTTACGAAGCGCCATCGCCGTGTGATGATATATTTTTTTTTTGGAACTAAGTCAATTTCATGACGCACTCCCCTATCCGGAGGATGCACGCGCGATGGATCTTGCGCCGCTACGTTGTTTTATTTCTTCCATAAAACGTGATGTTGATTTGCTGAATCCTTCAAAACTACTGTTATAAACCTCGTACTTGTACTTTGCTAGTGTCCTCAGTGAAAGATTCATATATGGCGGATGAAAAGCTCAGCCATCCTCCAGTACAGGCCCCGTTCCACTTCGGTGGATTCCTCCTCGTGAAATTTCAAACACAATATCGAACAAACACTTCCTTTAGCTTTGATAGATCTTTTGCTGGATGAACCGAGGGTTTACTAACAAGCTCTAGGACTACCTCTCTTATTTCCTCAACGAGTGATTTATTATCAATTCCTGCGGGCCCGTCGCGTGATAGTGCTGTCCCAAACGTATCATCACATCGCAGTAAGACTAAGCCATCCTTCTTGTCTTTAGGCCCTGATCCTATTACTCGCGGCTTATTTTAACCCTTCAACTCAGTACGATGGCAGCCAGGTCTTCCTAAAAGCTGCTCTGTGCCTAGTGGGACGTAGCATCCTCTCTAGGTTTGCCGACCAGGGCACGCAATGCGCGATTTTTCGTACTTTCAACGATAAAGCATTCGCAGGTAGCTCAGCAGCTGAGATATCTTTCATCTTTCCGCAGCATGGATGAAGTTCATTGCCGTTGGTGCGCTTATAGAGATTAAGAATTTAGTCCCCCTTCCGACGCTTGCGGTACGGAAGTTATGCTCCGCATTGAATGCGACGCCCACCGCTTTCTTGAAAGGGGCAAGTTGTAACTTGAAAATCCCCCATCGCGATAGCAGATGTCACCACTTTTAGATGAGGTTCAGACGCAACTGCGACGATATGGAATCATAATCCGTGGACATACTCCACTGATTCTCGCCTCCCTTGACTAGAAGAAAAACCAGACAAAATCTTTGGGTACCTGGTGGGGGTGAGAACACCTGCGGCATCTGCCACTCCAACGTTTCTCGCGTATGGAGCTCTCTTACCGAATAATCGAACGTTAATGTACATTTGCGCATGCTCTGTGAAAATGGGGCGTGACATGATCGAGTATTTGTCTTTGGAACAATCAGAACCAGAAGTGAGCTTATGATTTTATTGATCAGGAAACTGGCGGACAAAGGCTGGATGTGGTGTTCCATGCATATAAGCCCTAATCAGCGGACTGTTTGCGCTGGTAAGAATCATCTGGGAGTACCTACATTGGGAAATAGATGATCCCTCCATAAGGCCGCTGACGTTGAGCATCCAATCTTTAAGGGTTGTATTGTTGAGCATATCTTGATAATGCGATACAACAGTGGACTCCACCTTGCTTTAAAGGAAGCGATAGCGCGTTACGCTTGCAAGGCGTATACTGCGCACAACTCAGTTGGGGGATGACTACAAGTGCGATTATGTGCAACTGGTTTGTCATATATGGTAAGCCTCGATGCAAAAGTATGCGTTTACAAAAAAATCAGGAGCGGAGCCGATAGTCCTCACGCAACTCGTTATCCAGTCTGCTCTGCTAGTCAAGTATCTAAATGTATAGGATAAATTCTACTAACATTATAGTTAAAAATTTCTATTTTTTGCCATGTGGAACGGAGTAAAGTATCGAATATCCACAATTATTTAAAAGGCGCAAATCAAATTAATGACTGAATATTATTACTAGTCTGCTACATTGGCCGTATTGCAATCCCGGTCTAGTGAGTACTCTTCTGTTGAAGATGAGGTACAGTCTGATCATATTTTTTTTTAAGCTATCTACATCGACTGCTGATTGGACAATGTCAAGATGGACATGGACTTAAACATTTTTCTGTAATAATAAAAGTAGTATTCCGGCAAAATTGACTATGAAAAGTATTTAGTGAAAAATAATCTATCAAATTTTGATTTGCAACCACAACAGTAACTGCAAAGTGACAAATCAATAGGCGAAATTTTACAACTATGCCTGAGTTTTTTACGCCTGCGCGCCCATCTTGAGATTCGCTGACTGATTTATTGGTGGTTCTCAATTATTGCGGCAGGAAGAAAGAACGAGATCATCATTATCCGTAGTTTTTCATTAGTTGACTTTCTAACTTAACTCCCGACCATTTTTTGTCTGTCACGGTGGCACGATAACCAGACGAGGAGCAAGATGCATTTGATCGATGGCACAGAGAACATCTCCACGCAAAGGCAAGCGTTCAGCTACATTAAAATTACCTCGTACAATTTTGTAGACAATCTTGAATCACCACATAATCCCGGATAGTAGAATATCGATCTGAATTTCTAAATACCTGAAGTGTAGGTTACTGGATCTTAATCATCACTCGTACCAGGCCTTTACACGAAGCAATCTTTACTACTTAGAGAGTTCCGTCTTCTCAGCTGACACAATGTTAGAACTTAGAGTCTTTGAATATTCGCTCCGCATGCATTAGCTGCTCGGCAGCAGGTGATCAATTCAAAGCTTTTATCTCTAAAATCGCACGTAGTTTGCTTTAAGCACCGTCACAGCAATGTGCACCAATTGCTCTACGCACTCACCGATCCCTAATGTCTCAGTGTTAGACCTTAAAGGTTGCGCTGTCGGCAAAGCCGAAGCTTTAGATCACCTCAAGCTTAAAGCGCACGGTGGTCTTGAATGAGTGCGACCAATTTGTAAAACAGTAGCATAATAAAACAAGCTCGCAAGAACTTGCGATCGCTGCATTTAGACACAAATCACCAAAACTGTGGCTCTAGAAATGTTTGAGCTCTGGAAAATGCGTAGCGGCAGCGGGAAAGCTAATGAAAAGAGCCATGCACTCTTATCGTGTCAGCGCCACGCAGTAGTTGCCAAAAACATAATAATGTGCGCGTATGCTTCGTGGCTCTCGTCGATGTACGTGGCATCGTTGCGTTTCTTGCTGAATTTTTTTTTGCTGATTTTAGAATATGGGACCCTCAACCAAAATTTTTTTGCTGCCAGGATAGAGACCCACAAATGAAAGTTTCCGATGTTTTAGGCTTGATTTATTGGCTAAAATGACAAGTTCGGTGCACGATCACGAGTCGAAGCTGCTAGAGCCATACACTTACATCAGCGAACTACCTGGCAAGAATGTACGTGGCAAGCTGATCGGTGCATTCCAATCATGGTTACACGCTCCAGTAGAGGCTGTCGAAGGTATTCAGCGCATCGTTGATCAGCTGCACAATGCGAGTCTGCTGATTGACGACATTGAAGACGACTCGGAGATGCGACGTGGTCAGCCTGTGGCTCATCACATCTTTGGCGTACCGGCTACTATAAACTGCGCTAATTACGTATATTTTTTATCACTTCAAAAGTGTCAGGCGCTGGGAAACCCAAAAGCCTTGCAGGTTTATACAGACGAGATGCTGCGACTGCACCAAGGTCAAGGACTCGATATTTTCTGGAGAGACCATTTGCAGTGCCCAACAGTAGACGAATATCTCGAAATGGTGCAAAATAGTTGAGTCATAGTTCTTTTGTAGATGAAGAACACTATTTAATATGGATGCTAACTTTTTATGTTATCGAAACAAATAAAGAAACGGGAGGACTTTTTCGATTAGCTGTTGGATTGATGCAAGCCTTTAGCGACTCCACTTTGGACTTCATACCCCTTGTGAATGCACTTGCTGTATATTTCCAGATTCGTGATGACTATGTGAATTTGCTGGACGAAGCGTACATGGAGAATAAAAGCTATTGTGAGGATCTGACGGAGGGCAAATTCTCGTTTCCGCTTATCGTAGCAATTCGTGAGAATCCGCAGGATACTCGACTGCTGAGTATTTTGAAACAACGTACCAAAAGTGTTCACTTGAAACAGTATGCTGTGCAGTATCTGCGTGAGACAGGAGCTGTAAAGCTCACTCTTGCAAAGCTCAATGCAACCGTAGATGAAATCCGTCGCGAGATTGCGTCATTAGGAGGAAATTCGGCATTAGAACGAATCGTGGATGGATTGCATGCTAATATCAAATGAATGCATTTTTTAAAAAGCCAACAAATAAAGATTTCCTTGCAGATAAAGCTGACACAATGTCAGAACATCAAAGCTCACACAACGATCGATCTACTCGAGACAAAAATCATGGAAGCCATTTGAAAGTGACTTGCAAATGTGGTCGCTTGCCGCGCCCATCAAAGTTTTTGATGGTACGCAACAAGCACGAATACTTAAGGTTGTTTATCATTAATAGTGCAACCACAATGTCATTGCTGATATGGTCTTTCGAATTTATAACTAATTGTATAAGCTGTATCACACTTGAAAGCTGATAAGTTTTTATAGCTGAACGATTTCCATCTTACGCTGCTTGCCTGACGACAGTTGCTTTTTCTCTGCATTAACCATCTCTACACATTCATTAAGTGCAGCAGCATCGTTAGCAGCGTCCAGTGCTGCCAAAATCTTTTTGAATCTACATCAACGATCAGCACAAGTTACAGTGTTAAGCAAAAAGTAGTGAAGGTTGCTAGATATGAATGCACACCTGATCTCTGCCGCGTGAGATGCTTCCTTCTGCTGCGCTAGCTGCTGCTGCAAATCTCTAGTGACTTTTTGTGCGGCACTTAAGTTTTTGTGCAGCTCATTAAATGACGGCATTGGACCATCGGAAATCTTGTCACTCTGTATTTTGTTGCAATCTAGTAGTTCCTTGGTCCACTGTGCGTTCTCCTGATGCCGTTCAAATGCGCGGTGACGCACCACACGCATCTGCTGTCGCATTTCCCGCGATATATTAAATGGTGTCGTGCTTTCGGGTGGCACGGGCACGTGCGATGCGCGGCTGACTCGTACTTGCTGCATTGACGAGAACTTGTAAATTTCTGCTCAGAAAATCAAATTTGACTGCTTTTGGGAGCTAATCTTTCATAACGTGCTGAAAATAGTAGTTGTACATGACTAAAACCACGAAGATATTTGCTCAAAACTTGACACTTGTTATTTCTGTTATCAATCCGATAAATACTACACTTTTCCTCAAATCATATTTGACATCCAATAAGCCTTATTTATACATTAAATTATTAAGTCATAAGAGTTGCGATAATTTATTAAGGCTATTATTTTGAGCGCTAAATGACATATTTTATCGGGGCGTTTCAGCTTAGCAGATGTTACTATTTAAATTTATTACCCAACAGTTATATCGTAGCAAATGTATGACTTTATGAAAGCGCAATAATTAAATACATAGTGAAAATCTGAAAAAAATGCAGTCTAGCTATATTTATAATTTGAAACTAGATTAGAGGCAAACTTTTCCTTCGAGACCCCCTTCACACAAACTAAAACAAAAGCAGATCTTGGTAGCTTAAAGTTTGCATATGTTCTTAGTGTCGTGTGATGAAGGCCGATCCAGTCAGATAGTCCGCTTGATTTCGGCACATCGCTTCAGGAATCGATAGATATTCACTACGCTTACGACGACGACTGATGGACTTGCGAGGACTGCCCGTGCACCTTGCACGGAAGAAGCTCTAAGCGAACAAAATATGGGCTTACACACGCGGGAACCACAGTCTTAAGACTAGCTATAAAGATTTTTCTGGTTGTAAGGAGCTAAACATACCACAAATTCAGCTTACACTAAAACGCTGATAGAGTCTGTTATATTACCAAAAAAACTATATTTACTAAAGCTTCTTATCGCGATATATATGGCACCTGATCATGTGATGGATTACAGTAAATCAGTACATTAAGCTACCATCAGAGGAATTTATAAAGTGGGGACCACAGTAGGAATCAGCATTTTGTGTGGTACAAAATTCTGATTCCTACTTGGAGGCTCATACTGGTGACGAGACCGACGTGTCTCTGTTTATTGAAGTGGGTGGCGTAAATCAGTCACTTATGCTAAGAACTTTCCACGAAATTTGAAGTTCGAAATTTGAAGTTCACGCTCCATTTACCCGAGATCTTGAATAACTTCAAGCTGAGGTTTAACCTTAATACATATAGATTAAAATTTATAGAAGCCCAAGGACTCAAAAGTGAAATCTTTAAAAAGAAATGGGGTGTTTTATCTAAAGTTCGAGGAACCATAAACTCATATAATTCAAAATAGTTCTGCCTTCAAGTCATCTGGATCTTATTTATCCTCCAAGTTTGGAACCGCTTCCTTGTCGTACATACGTGTGTTTTGTTTTAAAGGGGACGTTATGAACGGCGCTTTCTTACACCTGATAGCACCTGAAGCGGTGTTTTGAAACGACACTCGATTATAGTTTGACAACTTGGCTGGTAAGCAAGTCGCGCAGTCCTGTCCATCTCATACTCTTGTATTTGTCCAAGCGACATGAAGAAAGTTGGAGGACCACTTGGTCCATAAGTACCGCAAACTGAGGAGCTGAGAGGTGATATGTTTCCTCATTTGTCTTCACATGAATGTAAAAATTTGAGCGGATGCTAGGAATTATCGGAGAAGATGCTGTAGCCAGATTACTGCAGTCGCCTTCTCCAAGTGGTGCAAACACATCCAATGTCTAACGTAAGATTATTGAAACCATGCGACGATACCACACTTATGAGCCAACAATATGCGAATCGACTTGTTAGTTACAAAGCTGTAACCAATCAACTTCAACTGCCTGGTGTAATGAGTAGGTACAACTCTTTTAAGCTGAAAGAGTACAACGATTCCTAGGACACTTACCAATATTTCATCTCAGAACACAGCTTTAAGGAAATACGAAATTAAAAGAAATTTATCAGCTAGGAAGATGCAAATCAATATCCCCCTAGAATGATGTTTGTACCCTTTGAAAATGACTATGTTTCTGTCAATCAACTGGTGGCGCTTGTGTCGGTTTTACGTGCTGAATATGATGTTTGTAGATTATCAGGCATTCAATGCGATCCGAGATTGAAGATCCTTACAAATACTCGAGGGAAGTATTGTCCTGTCCGGCCTTCTTCGATTTTGTGCGGAACTAGCAGATTGTACTTCAAGTCAAATCAATCTCGCTCGATGCGCGAGCTGGATTAATTGAAAATGGTCAAATTATAGCAAAACGTTTAGTTAAGTTTTATGCAAGCGCCGGAACGGTGTTACTTATTCGCCCGCATACCTTGCGCTCAACGCTTTTTACAAGGTTAAAAGTGCAACCTGTAACCAAGCACAATTGCAGTATGTCCGTGATTTCCGAAAACTGCGACTTCTGTGACTCTTGGCAGCCCGCCAGTGAATTTTTATAAGTGCTTCAAGGATATGCTACCTTGAAACACTTCCAATTATGATATATTTTCCACATCATGTTACAATAGGTCACTGCAAAGATATCTCAAAGTGTCAGTAACTAGGCTGTATCACCACCGAAGTACAATAATTCTATTGACCAATTTTTAGAGGCAGAGCATTTCTTAATTTTAAAAGAATCGATTCCTCTCAAACCAATATAGTGTGTGATTATGGGTGGCAATTTGAGTCGATTGCCAAGGCATAGCTACTAATCCGGCATCGTTGCCTGTTGTAAGAAAAAAAAAGAATCTATAATTTTGCTTACAACAGTCAACGATACCAAGTTTTGTGGTAATTTTCAATCGGCCTTTTCCCGCACGAAGGCACTAAGACAGGTCACCCTTGCAACAGTGTTCAGACCCTAAATGTCCACTATTCAATCGCACCCTTCGTTTGGCTTCGCTCTCTCCCTCTTCGAATCTTTTTCTTTGCACCAACTTCGCCTCAACTCAATAGACCCGGCGCCTTACATTTCTAGCGTCACGGATCTTTGGTGCCCCACGTTTTGTGCGCGCTGTATGCCTTCGCCTACTTTTCTACTACACCGAGGTTGACGCGCCTTCTTTTGTTATAATAGACCTGTTTCCTAAAGTCAAATACATAGTCCGTTTTGATTGATATAACAAACGGATTTCCTGTCAATGATTTTCGCACTTAGTTTCTCTGGCAAAGGACTGCAGCCACAATCGGTCGTTGGGTTATGACACAATTTGCATTGCGTAACTAACTGTTAAATTCTCGAAATTTGTGCGGTAAAGTCCTTAAATGCTTTTGTTTACACTTAAAATGCTGTTTGTCACTCGTGTAAGCTTTACCGAACGTTTGAGCGATAAGCTTTTTGCCGGCTTGTAATTTAAAGGTTAGAGAAATTACATACTTAAATGCGCACAAAAATGCAAAAGAAGAAAAGAATCTATATTACATCAGAAATACCTCAGGCTTTTCACCGCACAAAGTTGACACGGGCCCACCCCTCAATACCAGCGAAGCCAAGTTAGCGTCGTCAGCCTTGGATGCTCTTCTTAGCCATGCGTTAGGACTTTCTACTAAACTAGCTACGTCAGCTTAACTTTAAGGTATGTGGGCTCTTTGCAATCCAGAAATTTTTATTTATAACTTTGCGGATCTGGTAGATGAATTGGCCACGGATTTTAACCAGCCGATATGAAAAGATGTCCGTCAAGCTCAGCTTTTACAAGGATTTTAGAATTTTTCTACGCCGAAGTCCACTTTACTAGCGCGTCGTACGACTTGGCTACCAAATTAACTACTTTGGCACGATAATAATTATTGCCCGTTTTTCAAAATATGGCTTTCATGACTATACGGATCTGGTACCTCGTCCTGTCAATGTAACGTGATTATACGTACCTCGATAAAAACGGGTGGGTCACACAAGATGATGTGACTGCGGCTATACCTTATCAATAAGCTTTTACGTGGCTGGACTGCCAGTAACCATATATCTTGATTAGGTTTCACTATTGAATTAGGAAAACCTTTAGATTGAGAAATAGGCGGCTTTGCCGCAAAAAACCGGGAAATACAGTCTACATTTTGAAGGGAAGAGTTAACTTGCCTTGGGTTAAGATTGTGGTTACTCTTGGAACAAGCGGATTGCGATCCGCTAAACTCGTACTGGTTCTAAGTATAGAACGAAGGTCACCGACCTAAGTTAAGCTTCCTGTTTCCCTAGTAAAAGTGCTACGGCAGCCCCTCTGCACTTGGTAGCACTTGTGGTCAATCTACACCTGAGTCGTTACGACTGATCCTCTGGCAGGATGAAGGAGCTCTCTTATTTACCCCACACAGGTTTAAGATGCTGATGTTTCAGTTTGGCCCTGAGGAAGTGCAACACCTCTCTTTGCAAGGACCTGAATCGATCAACGCGCGCCTAGAGACGTTTTGAAGCTTTGTAAATGCTGTGATAGAGCACCTAGAGCAGAATATGTAGGTGTCGACTGAGTCCATGACGCCAGCGTCGACGAAGAATAAATCTTCCCGAACCAGGCCGCTTTTGGTGAGCGTTAAACTATCGAGGGCTAGGTTGGAGAGAGGCTTCTGCTTTAGGTGAGAGAGGCTGAGATGGCTTTGACGTCTGCCATGCTTCAGACCGAGCAACAGCGGTTGCGTACTATCATTGCCGTGAAGGCAGGCGATCCTCTCCCCAAGACGGTTACAGTGACCCTCTTTATGGAGAGCCTCCGCACCGGTGTGGCCAGAATGGAAGTCTTCCGTGTGCATCCGTTTTCTTTTGAAGAAGCGGTGAATGTGGAATTGAATGCCAAATTCAACTTTAATTCGGCATGACTTGGTTGGAATGCACACTCTAGCAGCTCGTTGAGCGGGCCTGAGCCGATAGATCCCAGATATGCTGTGAATGAGGAGGCAGATCTCCGAGCTGCCAGGCTGCGCTCGAACACCCGACGGTGTTTCGTTTCTGACTGATGGTTTCCTGTGCAAGGCGCGTCAAGATTTATCAAGCCGACGTCCCGCGTCTCGTCAGTCTTCTGATTCGTCGCGAGGCGCCCAACTGGGGAAAGACTGAGTTCTGTTGAGCCTCAAGCGGTGGAGGTGCAGCAGGCCTAGCCACGAAGAGCTCCGTGCTCTGGAACTGGAAACGTGTATGCAAGCCGGGCTTGCTGGTTGTAAAAGCGATCGTGAAGTCCTTGGAAGGCAACGGAAAATCCTTATCAAATCTGGAGAATCCGGCAATTATGCTTGACGCTCCACGATCGGAGCAAGCCAAGTGTATGCTGAGGCGCTGAAAGCGCGGTTAAGTGACACAATTACTGTACCTTTAGCGACAGTGATTTGAGCCACTGTGCTGAGGGTCCCTGTGGACCCCGGTGTCAAATTTCTTTATTTGATAGCGTGGAACGCTGCTTAGTCTTTAAGTTGGATGCGAGATATGCCTAATCCTTGAAATGGCGTGGTTGACACTCCATGAGCCATGGATTAATTGGAGGTCGTAGACCTTGGGCGCTACGCGCACGTCTCCTGGTGGGGCTTTGGTGAGTCATGAACCCACCTCTTTTAGGAAGTAGAAGTGCACCTAGGGCGGGCACTGGATCGGGACTGTCAATGTGCTGGATATCGGAGAATCCGAGTTGTCAAACACCCAAGGTGTTTTTAGCAGGAGTCCAGAGCCTAGCTCGCATGCTTAACGTGGAGTAGCACGTAACCCACTGAGCGCTGCTTAAGTATATAAGCAGTCGCTGCATGCCACAAGTGGCATGGTGGCCAAGCGCCGAGGCATCGAGCCCTAGTGATACACGTGGAGTGGCACGTAACCCACTGAGCACTGCTCACGTTTCGAAGCAGTCGCTGCATGCCATGAGTGGCATGGTCGGGAGAGGTCCGCGACATCTTGAGCAAGACCCTTCAGATGCGCGTGGATTGGCACGTTTTCGCCTGAAAAAAGACTGTGCGGCTCGCTGCTCTTCGTTTGATGTAGTTAGTGATATCAACGCTCCGGTGGAGCATGGAGTGGGGACACTGGACGACGCCGAGTGCGTGTACCAAGCCGAGAAGTAAAACCTCTGTTGAGAGGCTACAGCGACGCCGTAAGCTAGCCGCAAGACGTCGAGTGTCGATCCGGACCCAAGATGTGTCTACCGTAGACGACAGCACGCAACTCTCCACCTTCGGCAACGGTATGACGGGGGACGAAGCCAGCGATGTCATTCTTGAGGCTATTCCTGCGGCCAAGCTGGAAAAAATGTCCTTTTAAAAGGTCAACGGTACCTTGGAGGTAGGCGACTTAGCCGAAATGGTCATTATACGAACGGAAGATAATATCAACTCGTCGTCGCTTCTGGATGAAGCTGCCCTGTAGAACACCAAGAGGGCGCCAAGCGAATGAAGTGGATCTTTAATCCTAAGGAATCCCTAGGATCTGTACTAATCGTTAGTAAAGGAAGTTTAATGTGATGCCCCAAAGGCTGTAAAATGCACTAGCAACACTTAATCGTCCTGTGACGCAGTTGTTCAGGCCCCAACGGCCGTATGCGCAGACATACTTCGACGACATCTTTGTTCACAGTCGTGCGGAGCACGGGAGGTCGGATGAAGAGAACCATATCGCTTATTTATGATCGGTGCTCGAGTGCATGCGCACGAATAAGCTGTATGCTAATGCCTACAACTGCATCTTTGGCGACGAAGAATTCCCCCCTTTAAGGGTGCTTCGTCGAAAAGCGTGGCCGATGATCGAATCCCCCTAAGGTCAAGGCCATCGTGGATTAGTCGTTGTCAAAGGGCCAAAAGGACTTGTGCAAGCGGTTTGGCCTCACCAACTTCTTGCACAAGAACAGCGCAAATTATGCAGAAATGGTATGGACATTATCGAATCTCCTTATGAAGGAATGTTGTTTGGACACCGATCATCAGAAAACTTTTAATGGGATCAATGTCAGCCTCCTTCATGCACCGATGCTGGCGTTGCCAGACCCCCATCGTCTTTTCAGTGTCGTATCTGACGCTTCGGACTTTGCTATCGGATGTTCACTGCTGCAAGCAGACGCCGAGGGCAAGATCGGGTGATCACGTTTAAATCTCGCCAGCTCAATGCTGCAGAGAAGAGCTCTCCAGTTCACAACAAGGAATTACCTGCATTTAAACATGCACTTGTCATGTTCAGGGTGCACATGCTTGGCTCCAAGCCGCTTGTCATCAACACAGATCATGCGTCACTACGCATAAGGGTTTAGTCGCCCTACCTCTTGCAGAGGATGACCAGGTGGTTCTCCTTCTTCACAGAATATAACTTCGAGTTCATGTATAAGTTAAGAAAGCAGAATGCTTTGGCTGATGCGTTGTCACGCAGACCGGTATGAGCTTGCTAATGTCACGACGGTGACATCGTCGGTGACGGATTTGATCCGTGCCGCACAAGCGGAAGATAGTACGTGCGTAACGACGCTACGGGCTATCGAGCAAAAAGTTTGAAACCTCGTACAAGAAGTTGTCGTCACGACGGCGCGCACGGTCGCACCAATATTCGTTGATTTACTGATTGCTGTCTTATAGCACCGACACGACGGATACGCTTCGAAATGCGGTACCTCATGTTGAGAGTTTGAATGACCGTATCCTCGATGAGGCCCACAACACCCCACTTAGTGCCCATCTCGGTCGCGAAAAGACCAACAGCTCGGTGAGTTGCTAGTACTGATGGCTCAAGCACTAAAAATGGACGAACACATATCTGCGCACCTGAGAGGCGTGTCAAATTTTGAAACCTTCTTCGATTGGGGCGGCGCCGCTGGCCAGTTTGCCGGGACCCTCCGGATCCTGGCAGTCCGTGAGTTTGGACTTGTGTTTGGACTTTGAGTATGGCCTGCCGAAAGACTCGGCGGGCAACACGGGTGTGGTGGTCTTCGTCGACCCTTTGATCAAGATGGATCATCTTGTTGCGGTGCCGGACAGCATCGACGCTGTTGGTACAGCGACGCTGTTTGTGGATCGTGTCTTTTGAACTTTAACTCCTGCAGTCAGTTGTCTCTGAAAGAGACCCACACTTCACTAGAAAGTTTGGTTGACAATCATCCGGGTGATGGTCACTAAGTCGACTATGTCAACAGCGGATCATCCGCAGACCGACGGTCAAATTGAGCGCGTCAATCGTGTCGTTGAAGACGTTCTTTGCAGCGTCTGCGCTGAGACGCCGAAGCACTGGAGTGCCATGCTGTCACTTGTGGAGTTCGCTCTGAACAACGCAGTGCATGCGGCAATCGGCTACACGCTGTTATACATGAACAGGCTTGTTACTTCTCGCGTCTCGCTGACGCCGCCATACCATGGCTCGAAGCTTGGTGAAGGAGGAAAAGCCGAGTGTCTGACTAATGTCACCTCACTGTGCATAAAGTAGAAGACTTCCTGTCTACTAGATTAAGTGTTTCACGACGCGTTCGCGATGTGATGGCTCAAAGCCAAGACATACGGAAAGAATATGCAGACGGAAAGAGCAGAAGAAATGTTACGAAATCTGAGATCGGAGCCTTGTTTTAATAATTCGCAAATACGTTCCTACACATACAATCGCTGCTGTCTTTGAGACGAAGCCCTATCCACATTTTATCGGACTTCTTAAGATAGCGGCCAAGCGAGGCCTTGCGTATACGCTCAACCTGTCAAATAAGATGTGCACCCACCCATTTTCTGCGTTTCAAGTGGGCTTACTCAAGCCGTACGGGGATGCAGCGCAAGTGAACGCAGAAGCGTTGGCTCCGGGGCGGCGCCCAAAGGCGCTCGACCACCCACAAGCTGGACCAGCAACCATTTTTGAGCATGGAGTGCAACGACCTCCATTCAAATGGCGTCAGGCACTCCACGGTCGCACGAAGTGACGCTTTCGTCTGCTCGACGGCTAGGAGCCGTTCGACCCAGTGCGATGGTCCTCAACGTGAGACGCTGCACAAAGTGCTTGAAGTTCTCAACGTCTTTCGCATAGCGGTATGCGATCTCAGCACGATGCTCAGCGAAGTCCTGATCTCGACGAACCGTGTCCTTAAGAGCTCGGAGCGCATCGAAGTCACCGGACGGTAATCTGCCAAGTCGTCATCGACGAGAACGTTGGTACGTGGAACGTCTTGTGGGTCGACGTCTTCGACAGTGTCTAACCCAATTTCGAATAAAGTGGCGGGATATCCCGACTCCGTAAACTCGTGGGAGTTTGGGTGCCACTTCGGCAATACTGCCCAGACGTCATGGACGCTTATAATCAGAGAAACTCATAACGCTCCGCGTCATTGTCACCCCGCGCTTCTCGGCAGTAGCCAGGAAAGCCGAAGGGCCATGACCTGAACTCAAGCTATGACCCTGAACTGCTGTGATCGCAGACTCACCGGTGTGAGAGACTACAGATCACGCGGGAGCGTGATGGAGTGATCCAAACGTCCCAGGGTGATAATACGAAGAAAGTCGGTGATGCGCATCTAGTTTGGCAAACTCGAATCGATGATGGCGTTCGACGCGCACGTCCGCCCCCTTGTAGCTCCGCTGTAAGTTTGACAGCGAGGAAAGTTTCCGGTACCGCTGCACCCATGGATCAAAGGGCTCTTCGTCATTTGCAGCGGTTTTGCCAGAAGCGAACATTAAAGAAATCGTCTGCATCGCGGGTGCAGGAGCGCCTCCTCTTTGAGCGCAAAGTCGGGCGCAGTGCGCGGTGTTCTGTTGCCGACGGTTTGGGATGGGTTTCCCTTGCCGCGGGCGTTCTGTCCAAAGTTGCACCGACGAAGAAGGGATCTGCCTGCGGGCGCTCTTGGAACCAGCAAGGCTGGGTGGCTTTTGTGTCCTATCCACAGCGCTCATTGATCAGAGAATGTGTGCAGAAAGACCTGGGGACGTAGAGGTGTGTTAGACACGTGAGTCTCATACGAGGCGACATTATATGTGAATTGTGGGTGTTCACAATTTGGATGGGGGAGAGTGTTTCCGGGTTTCACGTACCCTGGTATGAGCGGGTGGGTCATACCAGATGGTGTGACAGCACAAAGGTGTAGCTACACCTTTTCTTACAAGAAGCCTTTTCGTGGCTGGACTATTGTAGTTATGCGTTTTAATTAGGTTTACTATTTTATTGGGAAAACCTATAGATTGAGATATAAGCGGCTTTGCCGCAAATAAAACGGAGAAATACAGTTTACATTTTGAACGAAAGAGTATGTTTACCTTTGAATGAAGTTGTAGTTACTCTTGGAGTAAGTAGATTGCGATCCGCTACACTCCTACTGGTTCTAAGTATGAAACGAAGGTCATCGACCTGAGCTTAGCTTTATCTAAGCGAAAGAGCCACGGCAGCCCCGCTGCAGTAGAAGTAGCCGAACGCTCTATTATCGACCGGTTTAAAATTCGTGGATCACCTCTCCCGTGTATGTTACTGACTTATAAGCGAACCGTTCGCTGTTACTGGCTAAATAGGTAGAATGGCGCTCGGAAAATTTCAACTTTATCACCAAACGAACCTGCACGGGTAATTTTCATTTCCCTCCTCTGGATTTTGGCAAGGTAAATCTCTATCCCATGCTTCATGAAATACAGGACGGTACGATACAATCGGATAACGCGCTGTATAATCGTCTGCATCAGGAACAAGAGTTTACAGAAAGAACAGCCAGCCAACCAAAGACACATTTGAAGATCATGGCTATCTTTAACCACCATCATTGTTCTAGGTGGTGGTGAGACACCGATCGTCTCTATGCCAGTCACTTCGGGCATTCTAGCCTGCAACACATGACAGTGGTGATTTAATGTCAGACAACAAATAGGTTCAGGTCGGCCTAGGGGATGCCGCAATCGGTGAAACAGTTGTTGATCTGGCTTTGCTACACTCCGAACCGGTATGGGCAACAGCCCCTAAACTTCGTAAAGCCTTACCGCATTTGCCAAAATTATACTTTGTAGAAGTTTTGCTATTCAGAATAATGATAAGAAATTTGAATGCTACCGGTTGTCAGCTTGAATAACATAGCTCGTTGTGGCTTCATAATTTAGACCCTGATACACCACATTGGCTTTCCTACAACAGTGAATCGGCCTACGCTACTATGGCTACCCCAATAATCATTAACTACGATTTTTTCTCTATGACTCGGAGTGAGCGTTTTAATTAGTAAAGTCCAGACATAAAAACTCGATAATTACGATGGGCATGCTTGATTTTTGCGTCTCAATTCTTTGTCTACAATGGAATTTACGGGTCCTAATTTGATGAATAGAATCGTTTAAATCTGGATTTGATAATAAATTTATTTGCTCAACTCGCCACGTTTTTGGCTTCAGGCTGAATCCCGGTAATCACGACTATGTTCAATGTTGGATTTTCGGATGGAACACTCCAAGCCAAAGTTCTTTTTGCACACCAATCATGGCTTTTACAATTCGAAGACGTCTAACATCACACTACGAGACCAATCGCAACTCGTGTACCCAAGCGCAAACACCGTATTTCCAATGCAAGAATACTTTGTGTTACGCAACGGCTGTGAAGTCTTATAAACCTATACTTGCTTTCTAAATGCAAAATGCCAATCGGTGCTCGACACTCGAGAGACCAATTCAACTTTTTGAGATTTTGGCACAGATCTTCGAGAGCGCAAATTTGTCTCTAAATTTGACTCAGATATTAAGTATGATCATTTTAAAGCCCGCACGTTGCAAGGCCGAGCTCTGCTATTGCAGGCTATGATTTGATCGATCTTGCGGCGTTTCTTATCGTACTGGTGGTCGCCGGAGATTTAGAATCCCTGATCCTATTGTGAGGAATGGTTTGAAACACACCTTACCAACAGCACTAACGGCTTGATAGTTTCAGTACGGTTCTAAAAGAAGCGGCTTAATATTTCACACTGGAGATTGTCGACCACATTCAAAGTGGAATGAGCTAGTCAGCTTATTCGGCACTGCTGGATTAAAGTGGACTCGCTAACCAAGTGTTTTACTACAGCACAATCTGCCTTTTATTCCACGTTTTAATGTCGCCGTATAGAATTGTATTTCTTCTACGTTCCGCTACAATGCTCTACGGCTACTACTCGCTGGCGAAACGTTCAACTCTCGTGGCAAAGGGCACTATGGAGCACTATTTTTTTGCTGGATCTGATGAACACAAATGCGGTATTTAAAAAGAACCTGACCGCTATGAAACAATACTATGTTCTTAAGAGAAAGACGTTGACTGTGCATCGTTAAAAAGCATCTCAATTTTAATCATTGAATGGTGTATTTCGGGTCTTTACTTTTTATGTTTTGTTTCTGTTCCTGACCTAACAGTGCTGCGTAAAGCACTATCAGGCGCCCTTATAATACTCAATTTGCCTTCGTCAAGAATCATGGAAGCAAGTCACTATGGTACATTTGCGACCCCTTCCCTATTTCGAAAAAATACTTCGCGCTACTTTTGTTGGGCAAGACGTTGTACTCATCCCTTCTCTCGGAAAGCTACTTTTGCACTCCATCTTTAGACTTTTGCTGGGCAAGACATTGGTGTCGCCGCATATAATTTAATTTTCATCTTCTTCACTCAAGTTCACTCCGCCCAACTGTTGCAATTATTGCAGCTTCCGAATTAATGCTCTACAATACAGGTAATTATCTCAATTTTTTTAAGCCTTCTTTGTTTTTTTTGAATTAAAAGTATAATTGATAGACTGGCGCACTCGGGATATTAATCTGTTCTACGCTAGAAACATCCGAACTATTTGATGTTGAAATTTTACCCATTCAATACTCTATGGCGTCTCTTTCTCCAGCCAATTTAACGAATTTTGCAACTACTATACAATGGGAGCATGCTTTTTTCTCGATGCATTATTTTTTTCTCCATCCTCCACACGATTTTTGGTGTAATATGACTTTTCGGCTATCGCATACTTTCCGATGCTGACTTTTTCGGACATGATACATAAACCGTTACCGGGTAATTTACCGGGCGCCCCTCTCGCATATGTAGCATACTTTCAAGGTTCTGACGCACACACTCACTTGTAATTTCCACTGGTACCAGTTTCAGCTTGATTTTTTGTACGCATCCATCAGGCGGCAGTACCAAGTTTTATGTTTTGGCTGGCGCATCTATCCACCTGCTCTAATTTTTGTGCTTGAGTACTATTTGGTACGCAACATCTGTCAGCACGTTTGAATAGACTTACTTGACCTGTATTACTTTAATTTGCATGTTTTGCACGTAGAATAATTTATTCATTGTGTGGATTTGGTAGATCAAAGCCCGGCATGAGTGCTGAACTCACTTAGAATAATACAAAATTGTGGAATGCAATCTAACGTGATTATAGTATCTCGCCCGGATGAACACTTCGGCGGGTCTCTCGCAAGCTGTTGGGCACACAGTCTCAATCTTCATAAAGTCTCTAATACATCAAAGAATTGTGGCTTTTTCATGCCCATCCAATCCCATATAGCGGTTGACACTTACGTCGTCTTTATTCAAGTGAAACACTTCTTGAATTTAATTTTCCGTATGGCTCAGAATCATACATCTTAAGATCCTGGTTCAAGCCTCCTTCTCTATGTGAGTTCAACCACGCTACCCAAACACGAGCAGGTGAGCAATCTGAGGCTTCATCTTGAAAACCGACTCATACAGCGTGATGAGCTCAAGTTGGCGAGCAATTAATCAAAGAGCTGTTGCGATCACCACTTCCGTCGACCATTCAGTCGGTACTCTTTTGTAGTAAGCTATACTGCGATGTATATCGTTATAGTCCTTTAAATGCGCTCCGCCACCCCATTCTGCTGAAGGCAACAAGGAACAGAAAGCTGGTGGACCATGCCACTTCGGTAATATGTCTGCCACTGTCTAATTTACAGATTCTGCCCCGTTTTGGATTGAAATTAACACCCATTTTAGTTTCATACAGCGTAATTACTTGAATTTGCAAGCTGCTTCAATCAGGCTGTTGATCAAGAAATTCGCAACATATCTTGAAAAATCGTCAGCAAAAATGAAAATATATTTGCACCTCCCTTCGAGGAAGTCCGCATTGGCCCCAAAAAGGACGAGTATGTACACGCGCTCCGGCATCTGTGTCGGCTTTGTCATCAAACGTGAGGGAAATCTGAGACTATCTGCTTACCCATCAACCACCTGGCATACAATGTTACTACTTCTTGCTTAATCATCGGAATGCCTTAGGTTTACCCCAGTGTCTTGAGTAAAGCATTCGTGATTGGATGACCCATGCGAGCATGCCAATGCTTTCACTAAATGTTAACTCAGGTATAGTCCACGAAACATGCTTCTTTCTGCTTGCCGTCAAGCATGTACACTTTTCCGATTCTTGGCCCCGATGCAATTGCTTGTGTTCTGTTTCAGCTGACGCCTGACGAGCGTGCACACCACACTCATGTTGAGCCCCGCAAGTTTACCAGCAGACAGCAATATTCTGTCGAGTCCTGGGATTTACGAAAACGTCGACTATGCAACTCTGCCGGTTGCTTTGACGCGTGACTTTCTGCCGTCTTCATTTCTTACTTCGATGCTAGTTCCAAGGTGCGGGGTCATCTGATGTGTGTCGCCACTGTCGATTTACCCATCCTGCTTATCGTCCTTTGTCCACTGCAATTACCGCGTCATCACTGCTGGTTCATTATCCGTCAAATCAGTCCCGCTCCAAGTGACCGACCCAGTCACTTTTAAAGTCTCTCCCTTATTTACGCCGTTATTGGATGGATGCCATCTTTTCTGCGTTACATAGTCCACCATTGACTCTTTTAGTATTATGATTACGCGAAATGTTTTTTCGTAGTCTCCTTTCTGCGCCGAATTTTTGTTCCTTCAGGCAGCTTCTCTTCGACTTCGATCGAAACGATGCTATGACCTTCTCATTTTCTACAATCGATGAATTCAGGCCATATTTCCGACGCCAGACTGACAAAATGTGTCACCAGCTGGTGCAACTCGTCAACTGGTTCTCCCATTTTCTGGTGACCCCAAACTAGCTCGTTAAAAAAGTCTAGATATTTCGCCATGCTGGTACCCTAGCAGCGATTGTGTTGAGTCGAGCGGTTGTAGAGAAGATATCGTTTTTAATGCCTCCATGGCGCTCATGGTCGACCGTACGTTGGTCTGGTGTCAAATACTAATGCCTTGCACAAATGATACACAATGGCTTGGCGTCGTTCATACGCTACGTGTAACGGGGTTACATATACCCTGGTAACAGGGGGGGTCACAACATATGGGCATTGTGTGACCACACCCAAACAAGAATACGGTACGGGGCTGGATAGCCAGTAATTCTACATGTATATAGATTTTACTATACATATTTAGGAAAATCTATGCATTTAAATTAGACGGCTTTGCAGCAGATTAAAATAAATAAAATCAGGTTTTGACTTTAAACCGAAGAGTTAATTAGCCTTGGGTTAAGGCTATAATTACTCTTGAAGTAAGCGGATTGCAATCCGCCAAACTCGTACTTGTTCTGAGTATAAAACGAGAGGTCGGTGACCTAACTTACGCTTCCTCAAAACGCAAAGCTACGGCAGCCTCGCTGCACTACGTCTCCGTGATATCATTTTAATCCTTGACTTATCCTCCTTGCCTGAGCCATTTGCACATTGAAGTCCTAGTTGTAGTAGTCACCACTTCGCAGGAAGACTTCGGTGTAATTGTTCGCCGTCGTGAGCATGGACGTAGTAGTAAAGAAAAGCTTGTTTTTGTTGATTTGTTGTCAACACCTGAAGCAAAAAAGTTTATCACGACCCTATGTATTCGTCCTAACGTTGCCATGTCTATGCCAGATTACAATGCCGTAATGATTTAGGATCTGGTCTGTATACCAAAAAAAGGAAGGATGGGTCGTATATTCTAGCTAGGAGTCCCACAATATTTTTAAACGTCGTGTAATTAAATTTTGTGGATTTAAACTCTCAACCACTGGTTCACAAGCAAATGTAAGCCTCATGCATGGAAAATAATCGTACAGGTGCAACAAACATCGTTTTTCAAACGAATTGAGCGATGTGATCTCAACAGCAACGTATGACACGGCCTTGCGACAGGCAAGATTCTTTGACCAGCCAATTCGTAGGGTTTGAAGCAAATCGAATAATGAAT